TAAGAAAAACAATTCTTAGTCTTATTGTTACCAAGTAAGTTTGTAATTATAACTATACTAATCTTTAAATATTTTAATTACACAAAATTTTTTCATAGGCTAGTGGAAATTGATGTTCACATACCAAAAGATGAACTGAATAGATTGGAATCAAATACTAATGTTGAAATCGAAAATATATTTCCAATAGATGTAGATGGAGAACGTATACAAGTAGATCCTGAGAAAATGGAAGTAGAATGTTTTTTCGCGGACTTTGGATATTTGCCTTAGAAGAATATTTATGTATATGAAAACTACTTGTCATGATTCTGATGGCAATTTGATGTAAGTTTAATTAAAGAACATATACATTTTATTCACAATACTTTTTGTACTCAATTACTTTTAATTTTTTTTTTCAGTTGGGAAAATACTAAATCATTATATCATGACTTGATATCAGTATTTGAAAGTGAAATTCTTCCAACTTATAACAGTAGTCATGTTCAGTACATAATTTATTACTTTCTTAGTTTTAAAATTACTTTATGCGAAAACTTCTGCAATTGGTTATGGAAAAAATGTTGTGATGTATCATTTCCATCTACTCTGCGACAAGCAGCAGCCGGTTATTTAGCTAGTTTCGTTTGCAGAGCACCATTTGTTTCAAATAGGTAATACATTTAAAGCATAAAAACTTTGTATAATATCAATACTAATAAAGTTTTTTATTTGATTTTTAGAGTTTTGAAAAATATCCTTTCAAACATTTCTTCATGGTGTATTAATTATATAAATAGAGTAGATAAAACAGTTAGAGTAGTAACTGAAAATTTACTAAGATGTCATGCAGTGTTCTATTCAATATGTCAATCATTATTTTATATTATATCATTCAGACATCAAGATCTTATGGAAGGCAAACGAAGTAAGATTTTTTTATAATTTTATAGTATTAGTTTTAATGCTTTTTGCTTTCAGCAGTGATTAATAAAAACATATATTTTATTATAGATCTAAAGTTTATGGAAAATCTAAATTTGTCTAAAATAGTCATTTGCCGTTTAAGTCCATTACGATTATGTTGTTCCGCTGTAGTCAACCGTTTTGCATATATCACTAAAACTTATCAATTAACATATTGCTATGTAGTAATGGATGGTCATATCAGAGTTACAGATCAGTCAGTTAAAGATAAGTTGTATTCTTTCTTTCCATTTGATACTTATGTCCTTCCAAGGTAAGTCTTACTAATATTTATCAATATTGTTCAATCTATTGTTCTTTTTTTAATTATTTAGTTATGAAACATAACATTTTATTCTTTTACATTACTTACAAGTATATTTTTGATATAATAATTTTATCACTCACAAAATATTAAAAAGGTATAACTTTTTTTTTAACAGTTTTCTTTATTAAATAAATGTTATATGTATGTTATTTTGGTTTATAGGTCGAAAGATATTATAATGTCTGATTTGTATAGACGGTTTAATGATGACACAAAGAAACATACTAACATTGATGACGAAGATGAAGATAAAGAATTATCGTTTGATGATAATATGGATATCAGTCAAAATATGTCATCTACAAGTTCACCTACCAAAACTGACTGGCTTGAGCTGTTAGTGAATCAACATCAATAGCCCGCTTTAGACGCTATTTCGGGCGCGTTTGGAATGGATGCGCAAAGAACGCGCGATAAGACTGTACGTTTAAAATTAAAATCGTGTCCAGACTTAGCACTTGTCTAAACCTGTGTAGTTTTGTCGTCCGTACCATGAACGTTGTTGCCTTTAGACACGCCTGCTGGATCATGACGCCCTGGCGCGTCATTCGCGCCATCGATGACCGGAAATATTTTTATTTCAGCTTCAGTAGTGACACGTTATGTTTACGAGATTTCACGTACATTAAATTATTATTTTAATTCTGTGTTTTTTATTATATGACTCTGACTTTATATTTGTACATATTATTATATCTATATCATAATATCTGAAAATATGACTGATACGCGATATTGGTCTAAATAATTCACGACTACTTTTTTAGAAAACTATCGCGAATTTCCTTGTCTTTGGAATATTAAATTTAAAGAGTACTTAAACAAAATAATTTCAGTATAATTTAAATATATTTTGTATAATTTTTAATTTAAAAATAATTCACTATTATCACTACAGAACACCGAGATGATAGAAGGATACAACTAACTCTAAAAGAAAATACGTGGTTCAGTAAGACACTTCCCGCTAAAACTGTGTGAAATACACACACGCCAGGCGCCATTCCAATCGCGCGTGAAAACGCAGAGTTTTGACCTTTATACGGACGTGCTTAGAACGGACGTGAAATAGAAAAGGTAAAGCACTCACGATTAGCGTGTGTTGCTTTAGGAAACACGGTTTTGGCACGTCAGACGCCTAGAACGCGTTCCAGGTGCGTCCACTCCAAACGCGTCCGATATCGTTTACGTCTAAAGGGGGCTAATGATTGTGTTATCCAGTAGCGCCGAACTAATAATAAAATTATCTGGCATAGACCTTGTTATGTGCCACCGCCTCGATTTAAAATAGTGCAGTCGAAGATATATTTAATTTGTATTAATTAGACATAAGACATCAATAGACGGTTGGTTATCTTTTAATTTTATTTCGTGTTTAGTGGCATTAGTAAAAGTTAATTTATCTCCCTCTAAATGAAATATTTCAGAATATTGTTCACATAATCCAAATATAGATTGTTTTCCCTCATTATTCATATGTTCGCTTCTAATTAAATTTTTTTATCCGTTTTATTCGGGTTGTATAATCATAGAATAATACAGTATTCTATGGATTAATATAATATTACGAACTCACATTTTCCCGCCAATGGCATACCCCCAAAAAAGAGGTCTGGTAATTGCCAGACTTGAACCACGTATCCATTGGTGTTATCTATATGATTATTTTTTTTTCTAATAAACATTATTAATTAAAATTTCCTTTTTCTTTTTATTTGTTCTTACATTCTTAAGTATAAGTATAATATTGTTTATGATAGCTAAACGGTTTGTTAAAATTGTTTTATTTTGTATAATGTAGTACTTATTGGATCAAAAAAAATTTTATTATATGGAATTAGCATAGAGATGTTTTATTTTACTATACAATTAAACCAGTTGCATCATATGTGGGGGGAGAAGTGGAAACTGGAGAGAGTTATCTGGAGGTATACAATTATTATTTTAATTATAATTTTAAAATATTTTTTTTTAATTAAACACCTTTAACACAATATTATTATAGGATTATAATTATTTACAAATAATCTTAAAAAAAAGAAAAAAAAAGTAGAGGTATCACGATAAAAGTGGACATTAAAAAGGGTTCCACGGATAAAAAAAACTGTAAGAAATGCTACATTAGACGGATAGCTACAATTAACTAAACAAATCACTGCATTATGAAACATTTATGAGCAAACAATTTGTAGTATTATGCATCTATGGATTCTTTTTTATATTGCTTTAATAATTTATAATTATTATGTTGATATTTCAAATGTAAAATTAGAAATTCATTGTTATTATGCACTGAACAAGTTGTATTTAATATTTATATAGAAACTATAATCTTACTGTAGTATTCGATCTAAGATTTATATTTATTATTAAATTAAATATAATTACTTGTTATTAGTTTTGGTTAGATGCTTGTAGTTTGAGTATGCTTAAGATTTTGAAGATACCCAAATAAAAATAAACCTATATGAAATGTCTTTTGACTTGTGTTGTCCTAAAATAGATTACTTAGCATAATATATATTATAATTAATGTCTGAATTTGTATGCACTTAAAATAGTGAGTATTTATGCATTAAAAATATTTAAAATGTTTAAATTTTATTATTTTATTATTTTATATTTAAATATGCATATATATTCTTATTTTTTTTAATTAATATGCAAATATATGCTTTTATTTAAATATATACATTTATATATATATATAAATTTTCTTATCGTAAATATCAATGCAACTTAATTAGGTGAACTTAATATCTTAAGTACCTACTAAATCAACTTATAACATTAATTAAAGAACAGTTAATATTTAAAAATATATTTTATAAATAAAAAAAAAATACTTTGGTTATGAATAATAAAAAAAATAATAAGAATGCATTAAATCTTTTTATACCATTTTTTTTAGAAAATATTTATGAAACAAAAAATTTTGAAATGTAATATTACACTATTAAAAAAGCATAAAACACAATAAATATAATTTATGATATTAACATTTTATAAAAATAATTCATAATTATATATATTTCCATGTGCTTATGTGTCATATTTATCTTTCTATCACTTAATATTTGTTTATAAAGACTAAACAATCTTTCCTTGTATAGTGATATCATGTACGAAAACTTCATTATTGACCACAGAGCATAAAGTGAGGTTTTCTGGAAGTCTTAATTTATTTTTTCCTGATATAATTGATTTAATTTATTCTAATATTTCAATTCCTTTATTTTTGTGTTACAATTGAGATATTTTAGTTTGTATAATAGGGATATACGTCAGTAGATAGCAGATAAATAATAGCGGTCAATTTATAGCGCGTAAATAATTTACGCGCTATAAAAGTCGCTCGCAATCAATAATTGATTGCGAGCGACTTTTAACAGTATGACAATTTGTAGCACCCTAAAGAATTAAATAACCAAACAATTATTAAAAAAAATATATTATAATAATAAATATTGCAAGCCATAATTAAAATTTAGCTGCCTAAAAAATATTATATCTGTAGCGGGAAATTATGTGCTATGCCTTTTAGATAGTCTTCAATTAAGGCGTTGACATAGAAAGGTACTAAGTCGAAAATAATCAATTTTTCGTTTTTTTCGTTGAAAATGGATTAAATATATATGTCAATAGCATGATAAAAGAACTAATTTAATTTTTTTATATATTAGGAATTACGTTGAGTACAAGATGACGCTAGTCGTGAGTCATTGTAGTTTGGCTTGGAAAAGGTAGTTTCTAAATTATCTCACGTGTTTATCAATGTATAATATTGTTTTCTTTGATACGAACATTGTAATAAACTATCGTCTAATATGATTTATAACAATTCAATCAGAAATTAAATTAGAAATTTCTAAAGGTTAAGCTTTCTTTTAAAAGAAGGTTCAAAAAATACTAAAAACAGTTTTTTCCTTCTCCTGTAAAATTTGGTTTTTATGACTTAGTACCTTTTCCATGTCAACGCCTCAATTTTAAAGCTTGAAACATTAATTTATATGTATTTTCATTTTTATCGGTAGTAAAATACACAGAAGGAATAACGTTCGAATAATAAACAGAGTGAATAGTATAAAGTTGTTTAAATATTTAAGGGGCACATTTCTTATGTCACAGTTAACCATTAATTCGGGGTTTCATTTTGTACAGAATAATAGAATTCGATTTGTCTCAGATCTGTTATCAAATTTTAAAAATTGCTCACCGTTCGTCGTTTTCATGAATTGGTGTGGAATTTCAAAATTAAAATTTTGAGGATTAATTGGAGCTCCTAAATGGGATTGACGAACTCACCGGACGGTTCTTTTTAGAGTTGACACGTTTGGTAATTGTTCAGCACAGTTGCTGTATCTTAATTAAGGTATCTGTCATAATTAATCTATCATAATTAAGGTATCTGTCTCAGTAGACAGATACCTTAATTATAAAAATAATATTAATAATAATAATAATAACATTTACAGAAATAATATAGTATGTACCTGAGACAAGGGCGTATTTAGGGGGGGGGGTGATATGAGTGTTAGAACACCCTCCCCATCGACCTTATTTTATGGTATTTCACCAAATTGTAAACTTATTTTGATCATTTGAATAAACGTTGTATACAACTTGTAGGTTTTACATATGCTGTCTTAATGTCCCTAAACATTTTAATTTATATAAATACATGGAATTTATTTATGTAATACGGGGGAGGGGGCAGAGGCTCTACTTACCATAAGTTTATTAAATTTTAAAACACCCCCGTTAAATGAATCCTGGATACGCCACTGACCTGAGAAGCAAGTGTTCCAATGACTGAATGCGTGGAATTAGATGTACATTTTGCACTTATTTTTACCTCATTTATAGCAGTTTTAACTTCGATTTGGGTGATATCAGGGACATGGTTATGGTCAATTTTTTTTTGAAATTTTTTGATTATCGATATCACAAATAACATGAACGCGGCCTCAACATTTATTTTTAAAACGTACGCATCTCCATATTTTCTTTTGTACTCCATTTTTTTTCGAAATGGTACATAAAACCTTCGTGAACTAATATATTTAAACCTCTTTCACTTTTTATATGTTTTAAAAAACATTTTAAAATAACTATATTATAAAGGTAATTGTTAGTAGTAGTACTGTTATATGGTGTTGTACCGACTAATAACTGATATAGTGTATAGAATAGGTACTATTGTAGGTATTAATTAGTCTCATTATCTTAATTTCCCATATTATTTCAAATAGTAATATTAAGTTTCCGATTATGATATATTTTATCGGTTTTATTTGGTTTTTTTCGGTTAATAATTGTTTGATTATTGAATTCTATACGACGCTATAAATTGTCATACTATTAAAAATCCCTCGCGATCAATTTACGCACTATAAATTGACCGCTATTTACTGTCACGCTATCAATTATCCACTATCTATTGACGGCACACCGTATAATAAAACCTTTATCATATTGTATACTTGATAAATCATACTCTAGTTTTAATAGGAAAATAGCAAAATAATAATTATTTAAATGAACTTTTATATAAATTATGTTTAAATATGCCGCTATACATATTAAATATTATTACATTTATATGTAAAGTTAACTTTTATCTATGCATTCTCAATTGCACAAATTGTCCACATTTC